TATATATAATATCTCGACATGTATCACATGCTATATTGACTATCGCGTTGCCTGGACGGGATTTGGAACTTTCATTCCTCATCCTTTTACATAATTTCTCTCTCTGGCAGTTCGTACAAAAAAAAAAAATAAATCGATTTCCAAAAACCTCTATCATACCCACACATCTTTCATTAGGAATCACTTTTTCCGTTCACCAGAGACAGAAATATGCTGTCGCTTATTGCTGTTTTTTTTTTTTTTTTTAGTAAATTGTAAATCGTTCGTTACTTTCTTGACCGTTAATCGCTAATACTTTCATAAATTTCTCATCTTAGGAGCCTCGACCGTAGATATTGACTTTATGTATTTATCGAACTCGCGACGGCCCGTTCCGTCAAAAGACGTCGCCCGTCGAAATAATTCACCTCTAAATACTTTCATGTTTCGTTTAACAAGTAGTCCCACTGTAGGAATCATACACGCTAACATTGTCGTAACTAGTCTAGAAACTTATACGTTAAATCGATCCTTGGATCATGGAAGCTTAAACGTGTTCCATTATACTCCCTCTCTTGCGCGTGACCTCGTCTGAAAAAACCATTTGTCGACGATCCGAGAAAAAGAAAACATTCTATCAATCTGTCGTTATTACAGTATAATAGTACGAAATCCTTGGATACTCCTGACGTGTCTACTGTAATCAACGCGTTGATCGTTCAAAGCTATCACCCCTACTATCGAGTCGCTAGATATTCCAAGGTAGGTATACAAAAGATAATAGAAACATCTTATCCGTGATTATCCGAGTTGTACGACGAATAAACCTGAATATTCGGAGAAAAACTATGTTCACGACAAAACAAACTTTGGACCAATTGTCTGCACCAAACCCTATTTCTGATATAGGACGAAAGTCCTCGTGTCTGGCTGAGCAAAACAGAGGGAGAGACGGTTCTCGTCGTCGTTTCATCCCCCTTACAACCAAAACGCAAGTAAAACAAGGCTCGAAATCCTTAATTTGATTCACCGCTGGTCACAGCCCCGTCGGTCGGTGGTCCACCGGCGGTGACGCTCTGAGGATCGCTCGAAGGTATACCAGGCATGTCCTGGACACCTTGGAACAGCTTGCCTGGGAATCCGTGCAAGAGGTCGTAGGAGACAGGCGTGGGTGGCAGGGCGGTGGTGTGAGCATGGGGCGATTGCAGCACCGCTATCACTCTCCTCAGCTCCTCCAAAGCGTTTCCTGTCGTGCGAAACCGTGTAATTTATGAGCTACTAATTTGGTAAAAACGACAACCAAAGGGACAGAAAACTATGGGGCCAGGTGAATAGGCCAATTCGCGATTTACCTTGTACAACATTCTCGCGTACACTCTATTTTTTCTAGATTTCTCGCCACGTTACCTTGCATGAGAATGTAATTCTTCGCCAGGAGGAGAGTGGCAATCTTGGACAACTTTCTCACGGACGGACTGTGGGCGTACGGGATGACGGATCGAAGTTCGTCGAGGGCGTCGTTCAGATCGTGCATCCTTTTCCGTTCCCTCGCGTTTATGTTCAGACGCATGCTTTTACCCTGTCTGGTGGTCTTCGATTTCGGCGGGCAGTTCAATCTCGATGCACCGGGTCTACGACAGGTGTAGAAATATTTTAGAATTTTAAGAGATAGATGTGGGTTAGAATTTCTTATTAAGTATGATATACCTTTCGTGGTCGGGTCGGTTCTCATCGGACAATGCGCTCGAAGAAGCATGGGGTTGCGGTTGCTGCTGGAAATAAAAGCCTCCTAGACCGACTGCGCCCAGGGGAGTCCTCCTTCCAGGTGCGCTCTGAGGGTGTTCCGACGAGTAGCCAGCTGGAGGGGCGGAAACGCTTGGATGTGACGCTCCTGGCACCGAATACATGGACTCCAGTGACGCCGTGGACTGTGGCGGTAAAGGATGCTGCGAAGGTCAATTGTAATATATATATAATATTATTAATGGTGGTTCAATGTGATCGAAAGAATAATACATATCGAATACGTACGGTGCTACGATGCTCCCAAGCCCATGTGGGATGCGATGTCGACCGTTGCCAGGAGCCCTGTTGCAGATGCGCTTCCGGAAGACCCTCTCGCCTGTCATCGTCCTCTGTCGAGCTACTCTCGCCGTCGTAGGACCTCATTTCGCCCAGTGGATTCCCGATCTTTATATCTCTCTTTCCCAAGACCCCTGACTGCCACCACGACACCGACCCCTAAAGTCAACGCGTACCCATGAAAACGTCGTCTAATCGGTCATCATCGGCCCCGTAGCGCGCGTGAGTAACGCGTACCAAGCGGAACAGTATCATCGGGAGAACGGCGTAACATAATCAATAGTAACCGCAACACTTACCGACAAATTTCTTTCCAGGCACCCGGTCATGAAACAATCCCGATGATGGAAATGTCGTGTGTTACCTTTTGGTATTTTCTATTCTTTCAATTAACTTTGCTTTTCTTCTTCTTTCTTCTTTTCACCGATCGAACATAAATAAATCACTGTTTACGGCCATAGAGGACGCCGATCACGATGGCCATGTTACGAATCCCTGGAGGATTCTCGCTGATCCTGTCGCGACTCTGATGTTCGATCATCCAAATACCACCCCTGTTTTGGTAACTTAAGTTTGTTCACACCTGACCACAGGTATCTTGCTATCGTTCGTTTGGTATTTGTTGTTTTCTTTTTTTCCTTTTGGACACTCCAGTTTGTGTTTAATGAAATTAACACGCGCAGAGAGACAGGACACCGTCGCGCGGTGCACGCACGCGTCTCTATTGTTTGGCGGATGCCCTGCGCAGAGGGTGCCTCCGTGGTTCTCTGCAACCCTAAGCGTAGTTCCAGCATCCGCCGACAGGCCGTGTCACGGTCGTGCCGATGGATGCTGGACTGGACCAACGGCTGGCGTACTCTGGCGTGCGTCTGGGTAAGTTTCAAGGAGGATGGTACATCTGCTTCTTACCATCTGGATAGGTCGATGCCTCCTGAAACGGAACAGGGGCTCGTGTCATTCAGGGGGTGCAACGGACGGGCTTCTGGCCTTTCGTGACTCGGGTCTTTCCGTTTCTTTCTTTCAGAACGATTTTCATTTTTAGAGGTTCGATGGTTCTGTCCCCTTTTTGATATAATACACAGGGTGTTAGAACTTTCCATTTTTCGATGAAGTTGGAGGTGTGATAAAAATGAAGATTAATTATTAATTACGTTCAAAAGATTCAAAGGCTGACAACGGAAATCATGAAGTCGAAGATGAACCCCTTGAAAAATTCCAATGTTTAAACTTGCCTAAAATGAAAAACAGAATTGTTCGTTTTTTCATGATATTATTTAAATAAAGTGACACGACGGACATTTTTGTAACGTTAAATTGTCTAGAAAAGGATATCTCAAGGAAGCTAGATCCACTCTTCCTACTTAAGGGGTTAAGTATCTTTTAATTTAATTACAGATCATTTTTAAGACAAAGCTAATATGCAAGAATAATATACAGAGTGTAACGAAAGTATTAGAACCGCACAATAGTCAAAGGTTCAAGTGACTCAAGAGCTACTATTAATAATCGAGCGAAATCTTGACTTCAATAATTGGTCCCCTCGCTCACGTGACCGAATCTGCGAAATCTTATTCGAGCTCCACCCCAAAAGGGTCACCGAGCCACGATCTCAGACATGTTCCCATTATCCTATCTACAAATACAAGCCCGCCATTCAGCGAACCCCAGAATTTTAACTAAATTCGTACCGACCGATTCACCGACGACACAACAACGCCCACCCAGGACCATTATACTCAATTTCCCACTTCAAGGAAGGACTCGACGTGGTCTTCGCCAGGCATCGTCCGCTAACAAGCGTTCCTCTTCAACAATACACAACCCCACTCCCTGCCTGGAACCTACTCCCGCGATTTCCTCCAAATTCGCGGGCCCATAACTCAGGGATGCTCCTATCAAAGAAGAAAAAAAACCAAGGATAGTAACAGAAGGGGCCCAGGAACGAAATGGCAGCGGATTCTTTTTGTTAAAAATAAAAATTTCACAAAACCATCGAAAGGGTTGGGATGGAGGCGACAATTTTTCCCAAAAATCGGCGAACAGGGACAAGCCCGAGCATAGGAATCGACGATGGCTGACATGACGTTCCGTTATACCTGACCGTTGGCATAATAACGCCCCGAAATCAAAACCCTCGTGGCTCGGGGAACCACTAGCCATATTGTTCGGTGCATCTGTCGCGTGCAGGGGTCCTCTTGTCATTCGCAACGTGGCGCACAACGTCGTTCGTAACGAAGAATCTCTCTCTGTTTCGTCGTTTCTATCGGCTCCATATATAGAGGCGGGCAGAAATTTTGCTCCCAGATAAAAATACATTTTTCAATTTTTTTTTTTTTTTGTTTCTCGCGTCGTTTTCAGGTTTAATTAATGCCCCGGGAAACGACCCGCGTCGTTCCACCACCCAGTGGGTGTATTTTCGACGGGTTTTTTCGGTCTACGTGTTTACGCGCGTGTCGAGGTTTCCGCGGGGCTGGCACAACATCGGAAATCGATGGACACCGAGTAGTATCTTTTCTGTGTACTTCCGCTTCTGTGTCTTTTTTTTTTTGCGTCTGAAAAAACCAAAGATCCCGATATCCGTCGGTAAACATATTCGAGCACGGGGAATATTTTTTGGTCGACGATGCTCCACGACGGTCTTACGATGCGCTTCGTTCTTCGATGTTCAGAGGAAAATAACTTCTGGTGGTTGATATGTAAATATTGAATATTACTTATAGATTTCACCATTGAACAATATTAAGTAAATGAACATGTCCAAAAATCAATACTCGATGATTTGTTTATACTAACAACTTAATTTACTCGTTTTCGTATATAATGTTCATTCACTGGTACGTCGACCCTATGGTCATTTTCGAATTTCTTATTACAACGAATGAAAAACGCTCAGAAGGCTCTGTTCGCAGTCGAAGGGTTAATAATAATAATAATAATGAGTATATTTGGTTTGGATAAGGAGAATGTAGAAAGGATTATTGTTTAGAACTTGTAACGATAAGTTTTCTGACGAAATTGTTCTTCGGGAGGGAGGGGTGGGGATTAGGAGATTTATAGGTGAAATGTTACTGCAATGGAGGTGATGATGGTGAAATTATTACTCGTATGTTCTTGTTACGACAAAGTGGATTTTTCATCGCGGGGAACGTATCCAGAATTCCAAACTGTCGAGACGATTCGACGACGTCACACTTGGCTCCGGACCATATGTAAAACAGATCCACGAAGCCGCGGAACTTTTTGCGTGAATGAAATCTGCATAATTCCAGGGATACTCCGAAACCGTACATTTGCTGCAATAATACGTGATGCGAGCGTTTTCACTGCTTCTCAAAGCTACCCTTATATGAAATTCCTTTGATTCATTATTTAGACAATCGAGTACGATGAAGCTTTTATTCCCTGTTTTGCTGAAAGATTAACTATCATTTGTCTCCTATTTGGATTGATATATACAGTGGCGGACGAAAAAATTATAACTATTCTGATTTTTTTTATTTTCATTATTTCGTAACGTCAACTTAAAACCTTAATATACTGGATTTGATATAGCTTTTATTGCTCTATCAGAATATATATTAAGTTCAAGTTAACCTCAAAAGATAATACAAATTTAACAAATCGAAGAAATGGTAACTTTTTTATCCCCTACTGTAAGTCTATCATTAGTTAACAAATAGTTAACATAACATTGAAAATTCTACCATACATTTATTCTCCTGTATTTTCCTTGAAACAGTATCTGTCTATAGTGTTTCGAACAGCGGCGACACGATACGTCTGAACCATCCCTCCTAATAGAAATAGTGGCTCCAGAAGAGGGGTTAGTTTTATTTCAAGAAGTGTTTACTATACGCAATCCGGCATAATGTTGCAGTCTCCCAACCCCCATTGTCCTCGAGGTGGCCAAATCTTTGGCAAAGGAACGAGGGCTGTGCAATACACAAGGCAAGACGTGGAACTGTTTAAAGAGTTCGCGGGGGTTTGCACCCTCGATCAAATTTCCTTCTGCAAGAATTTTATTCTCACCATTCTAATCAACTCAATTAACTTCCATATCCCCCCGTTATAAACCTATTTTACGTCCAACGCAATGGATCATTAATAATTATCGATAAACAAACCGATTCCCTTAATGGTTATTCTTTCATTACAATCCACTGAATTTTCCTCGTCATTTAATTCCATTAATCACAGTGGTTCCATAAAGTAAATACAAAAACAAAAAAATAGTGTTTCACACGTCCGTTTTCTCTGAGATTTATGCAGAAAAAAAAATGGCAACGAACAGAGGAGAATTTAGGGTAACAACGATCGCGCCCGATAAATTTCATGCGGCTAGCGTCCTGTTCGCGACGAAAATAAATACAGAATCTTTCTGGGTCGAGCACCCTCCGTCGTAAACGACTCTCGCTCGATCGGCGGAGTCTGTCGAATTTCAGCCAGACAGAAAACGGCAGCCGGCATTTATCTTCCAACGATTCCACCGATGGAATTGTATTTTTCACCGCTGACACTTATATTCGCCAGTTTCCCGATCGCTGGGCACCCCGCGGATAGGAAGGTCATATATTAATTGCAACTCGCTGAAACGGAGTCGAAACTCCGATGTCAGCAGTTTCAACCCCTACAATATATACGCTGCGTGGCATATCTACAAAAACACCTTAAAAATTTCAATCTCTATGTTGCTGTGGTTAAAATAGAAAATTGACTAGTTTTTCTCTAGGGAATATAATTTATTCTTTTTTCAGGACAGATTATTTCTCAATACGATTTCAGCCATACTTGGTTAGTTTTTATTTTAACTACAATATATAAGAAGTGAAAATTTTAGGGTGACTTTACAGTCATGCCACGAAGTGTATATTAATTTCCCACAATAACGACATAACTGAAAATATACGATTTTAGGATCGATGGAATTTTATACGAATATTATGTATTAAACTGACTATTCTGATGTGGTGATTATTGGAAGTCCGGTTACAGGATTCAACCGATAAAAATTGCAGGAAGTTTTTTTAATAGTTCGAAAACTGAAAAGTTTGAGCAATGTTATTGTCACGGCAAATTAGCGATTTGTACAGAAGATTGTTCGTCTCATTCAACCTAGACTCGAAGGTTCAATAAACACACTTTGCAGACAATTCATTC